TATAAGAAGATAAGATGATCACTGTGACAGAGAGAGAGGCGACAGGGCCACAGGTCGTTCTTTCCCCACTCCGTGATTGTTTTCATCCTCCTACTCACCTCTTTACCCCCCTCTCTCCAACATGAGGCGGGGAGAGAATGGCACGCCTTCTTTTCAGCCATCATCTCCATGGTGACGTTGCCTCACGGCCCTTCTCTCCCTCCTCTCCTCCATTTGTCACTCCATTTCTTAAGCTGTCATTTTCTTGCATTCATTACTTTTCTCCTCTGTTGTACCCATCCGGCTCATCTCTCCCCTTGTGCCAATTACTGTGGGTTTAAGCATGGTCCTTGTCTTGAGGAGGCAGGTGGTTTCAGACGGAAACAGAGATGGGCGTGATTAGAGCTGCAATATCTTGTGTGAGCCATTAGGGCAGAGGAGCAGAATTAAGGACAGAAGTGTGCTGTCTTGAGCCACACAGGGAGGAGAGATGAAAACTGAAGGCGAATGTGAATATGGCCTTTTTGAAATGTCCACGTAATGCCACAGGAATGCTGCAAAAATACCTGTGGGAGTGGGCCGATTACCTCTAAATAAGACCTGCTAATGGTCATCTTTTGACTTCTTCTAAAGAAAGAAGTTCAACATTTCTTGAATGTATTCACTTTCTTGCTGAGAGTTAGATGAGAAGTTTGATACCACTCATATTTCTGCAAGGTAAGTACGTTAACTGTAGCCAGCAGCCAGTTAGCTTAGCTTAGCATAGAGACTTGGAACAGGGGGTAACAGCTAGCCGCACATATTTAGTGTACAGACATGAGAGTGGTACCGATATTTTCATGTAACTTTCGGCAAGACAGCAAATAAGCAATATTTCATAAGCATAAGCAATATAAAGACATGCATCTCCATTTATTATAGATACATTTTTTTGGACATTTTGTGCCTTCGTCAGATTAGACAGTGGAGATCTGACAGGTGATGAGGTGAGAGACAGATTGGGTATGGCATGCAACAAAGTTGCCCTGCCAAACGTGAACCCTGCAGGGACATAGCGGATTATGGTTGGAGCCTTAATCCCGAGGGCACCAGAGCTCCCTGAGCTTTGCTTTTGGTCATGAAGTTCCACTCCTGAGCTCATTTTAACATTCCACCTCACTTCTCTGCATTAAAGTCACTATTTCAGTCACATCTTGCCCCCACCGTCGTTCTTGCTCTCTCTCTCTCTCTCATTGTACCAGCAAAAATTCCCCAATTTCTATTTTCGGCCTTTCCCAAACTTACATTCAGGTTCAGCTCCTTTTCTGCTCTGCCACCCACTAACCTGTCAACCTCCATTTTGTTCTTTTCTGCTCATTATTACTATTATTATTATTATCCTCCAACCCCCTCTGCTTTTTACCCTGTACATATCAATGGCTGCGAGTCTTCACCTTGGTGTTCTGAGTCATCCCTTTTCAACACACCAACAGTGTGGTTGTGTGTGTACATGAGTACATGTGCACAGATTATGTTAGTGTCTACGGTGAGCGTGACGCACCGGCTGACGTCATCAGAGGCAGAGGCAGGGTGTGTTTTTTGATGAAGAAATCCTGTCAATGAAGAGAGCGGAACGAGAAACCATATAGGAAAATCGCTTTTTGTCAAAACTGAGGCAAGTTCAGTCACATTTATTAATGTAATCACACAAACAGCTACAAAAATACCAGTAATAATGCAGATATTTAAAGCAGGAATGACAGATTATTATCCAAATCCAAATAGTCTTTTTGCCACACTAATTGGATTTTGGTATTTTTGCCTCCCTAATTGGCTGTGCATATAACAGCCTTACTGAAATCGTACAGTGTCTAGGCAACCGGGTGATTTTTATGTTCATTAAAGTATGCCACCTTCCCCTGTCCTCCTCTGCATGACTCCATCTGGCCAGTGTCTGTGAATGTGAGACTGCAGGGAGGTGTGTGTGTGTGTGTGTGTGTGTGTGTGTGTGTGTGTGTGTGTGTGTGTGTGTGTGCGTGCGTGCGTGTTTTTGGCAAATGTGAATCAGTAAATGTGTAAAGATGTTGGTCGCATAACAGCTCAAATGCAGAGAGAGACATTGTACATTTGGTATCATATCCAAAACCCAATATGCCCGCATGTTCTGTGTGTTAACAAGCAGTGTGGCACGGCCAGTGAGATTGTTTTGGGATTTTTTACAGACTCTTTCTCATGCTCTATTTTTGTCTCCTCTTCTTCATGGTTCATCCTCTCATCTTTCCATTATGTTCAGGCTCATTCATCCACCACTCCCTCCCTCCCTCCTTTCCTCCACTTTGCCTGTTTTCCAACCTCCTCCTCTGCTTTGTCCCTCCCACCATACCTCTATTTTTCTTTTCCTCCTCCCCCCGTTCTCTTCTCTGGTGCTTTATCTCTGCGGTCTCTGTCTCTCCCTCCACCGCTGCCTGCATGCGGTGCGATGATGCTGTCCTGGCCGCCTCCCAAACCATTTGCCCCCTCGCTCCTCCACCCCCCCTTCTTCCCTCCTGATGCTATAAATACTAGGCATCGGTGAGTCATCGCCGAGACGTATCGTTTGCCTCTCCCTCTGCCTCTCCCTCTGCCTCTCCACCCAATCCTCCCTTCAACTATCCTCCTCTCTTTCCTTCAAATTTCTCTCTGCTCAATCTCATTGCCAGATCTCACACGATTTCCCACCTCCACTTTGGCCCTCACAGCTGAGCTAAGTCAGGGCCCCATGCCTGGCATGGTGCAGCCAGTGTTACCGAGCGCGGCCAAAGGTCAGCTTGACACTTGACTACCAAAAACAAAATCAGCAGGAGTGCGCACGATATGGGAAACACACAGCAAAAAGCAGAGGATCACATTCTGTGATAGGGAATGTGGCCAGTGCTCTCCTTAAATGCCCCTAAGTAGCTTCAAAGTCAGATGAAACATTTTTCTTATTAAACAACATCAATTAAAAAAAATATATATTCGGTATCTGCATGTTCCAGTGCTTAATTGCTGCTTCATGTGATACTATCATGGAGTGAAATACTGAAATCCAAGATTGCATTAATAGTAGGCTCCACTGAAAGTCTCATGTTTATTATACTGTATTTCAATACATATTTAGTATCTTTGGAAGCCTTTGAATATGGATGGATGGAGTTTGTAATGATGGACCTGCCAATGATGTTCTATACGTTAAGGGGGTTAGTGCTACTTTAGACACAAAATTACATTTTATAAATGAAAGGGTGGTGGAACGAGAAAGGGGGCAGCTCATCATTCCCTATTCTTCCCTTTACATCCACACTTCTTACATCTAATCCATTCTATCCCTGCTGTACCATAGTGTGTTTTACATGTAATTTCAACGGCCCAACATCACATCTCAGTCCCACTCCTCGCTGTAACACCATCTTTCAACCTCAGATGTAATTATTCTCACTGTTCTCCAGCCACCACCCACCTCTCAAGAGATATGAGGCAACTCCAATTCAGCTCCACTCATCCTTGGGTAAACTCCAATATGGCTTATTGGCTCACACTGCATAAAGCACAAACAGAGATAAAAGTTTTTTTTGCGCACTTCTGAGTCATGAGTAGACAGGAAGAGGGAGAAAGCAAGTAGAGAAAGGGAGACACACTGAGAGTGAGACAGAGAGACAGAGAGAGAGCAGGAGAAAGAAAAAAGTTGGTGTCAGAGAGCAAAGAGAAGACAAGCACAGCAACACACACACCACATCCATACAATAGGGAAAATGTCCTTCACAGTTTCCTGCTGCTCGGTGCTGTTGTTGTTGTTGTCTTTGTGGTAGAGACACTGTGTGTGTGTGTGTGGCTGCGTCAGAATCAGTGGGCTAATGAAGGGAGCATTATGCCTCTGACGCACTCGCCGGTCCCATAGGGTTGGATGGAGGGAATAGAGAGGAGAGGAGGGGTTAGAAGAATCGTTCATCTCTCTGTGGTCTTGTAGTCACTGTTTTATTTTAAATGAAATGCAAAAGTAGTGCGGACAGGACCATCATACAGGATTTTAACCACCCATGTTCTTTCCGATTGCCTTAACATTAGAGGTTTGTTTATATGAGAACTGGTGTCTCTCTTGAATACATTACATTGATTTCATTGTAATATGTAACATGGCTTCACATGTATTGTTATGTTTATTACAAGTCCAAAATGCAGTGTGTATTGGGCACTGTAAGCTTTATGCTATATACATAACGTAACTTGTATAACTTGTATTCAAATTCATATGTATTCATTTGGATCAAACCTTTCATAACATCAAACCTTGAAGAAGTGAAGCAGATTAAGAGATTCATTAATCTACTAGTTGATTGATGAATGATTATCTGACATTTTAAAATAAAAAACCCTCATCTCGCATAAGCTTTTCAAATGTGAATTTTTCTTAGTCTAGTAAATTGACTACATTTGTTTGTTTTTTAGAGGGGTTTTGGATCTTTGTCAAACAAAAAAGCTATTTAAATATGTCAACTTGAGGGCCTGGCATTTACCACTATTATGTTTTTATGGACAAAGTCAATTGAGAATATAATCAGCAGATGAATAGATAATGAAACGAACTATTAGTGTCAGTTACTGCTGATGCCAGACACTGATGTACGATCAGAGCCTAATATGCAAGATTATTTGATTATTTACTGTGCACAATCTGTGTTTATTCAGATGCATATGGCAGCAGGATAGCAGGTGTACATGGAAAAAGCAGGAAGCCAAGCTTCTTTAATATATCGAGTGATTACACAGGTCTGTGATTCAAAATAATGTTTACTAGTTTACTAGTTTTTATTGAAGGTTGACTCCCAGAACTGCATGTTCCGTTGGTGTCGATGCACCACACAATATTTCACAAACCACATTTACTCAGACACACACACACATTGGCCTTCGTTGCCATAGAAACTCAGTTTCAGGATGATTCTAATCAAGATCGTATCAGTCACACGTTGTGCCTCACAGATTGCATTCAGGTGTTCAACACAGATTAACACACAAACCACCAGTAATTACAACACACCTTTTATTTCATTACATCATTTTCAAGGCCAAATCACAAATAAATAAGGAAGGAGACACTTGCAATAGCCCAGCTTGCAGGGCCACTTAACCACACAAAACAATGAGACCCCATTCAGAATTATTAAATATGTTAACAGGAGACTTTAACCTGTACAATTATTGGTAGTTTGAATGTACTTTGATTATCGACCCCCTCCCCTCTCAACCTATTTACAATGCAAGTGAAAACAACAGGAGTGGTGAAATTCACCGTTAGGCCACTCCACTGTCTTTGCCTTGACATTTGGGATGTACAAATGAATGTAGCAGGACACGGCATGTGTTGCAATCAACAAAAACACGAGGGCTTCACATTCTTAAGACCCCTGAAGAAAGCTCATGTGTCAGAAGGCAACTAGTCGCCTCTATCCAGGCAGAGGAGAAGCAGCACAGCACAGTAAGCTACTGTCCACAGAAACTTCTGGAGAGAGACGTGTTATAAAAAACCAGGGAGGGGGGGAGTGGGTTTCCACCTCATCATGATGGAATGGTCAAATTTTTACATGCTAAAATAACCCTTCCACATTGAGCTAGTAGACATATGATGATAGAATTAGTTAGAGTATCTGACTGTACCGGTTATTAATGCTAATTGCCTTCAATGAACGCAAAGCAGGATTTGCACTCCAAGAGGGTGGCTGCGGCACAGAGGTCGTCCTTACAAAGGACCAATGACCAAACACTATTTAATCTTTTGCTCATAAAGAGAAGAAAATCTGAAGCAAGGGTGTCCCTAGTACTGATGCCACTCAGAGATCCCCACCAATCTGGAAACCTACAGTAATTAATGAATATGTTATACACGAGTTCAAATAAATGGTTGACAAAACCGTAGACCCTTTTTATATACATTACACATACAGCATCATACACATAAACCAATTTAAAGATACAGAAATGTAATTTGCACTCTATGAGGTCAAGTGAGCTTATGCTATATACTCACTATTAAATAAGGAGTGTATTTATAAGAATATTTTTCAGTTGTTTGAATAGAGTCTGATTCTGTCTTTCTCTCTCAAATATATATTCAAGTGCTTTGGTACAGTTGCACTTTCCACCATGCAATTTCCACAATGCCAAATGAAATTTTCACTCTACAGTTTTACGTTACATTGTTTAACACAGTATGTTCAAATCAGTGTCTCTCTACAATCCACTTCTTAATTCCAATGCTTACATTCCCACAAGTCTTCCAATATGCGCTTAAGTTGAAAGTAACAGGCTTACACATTCATATACACTACGGAGGGGCTACTGTCTGTGCGTTTTTCCTTCCTACATACTTTATACTTGAGTTTAAAATTTGTGTATACATATTGCACATTCATTTTGTATTTCATATTCATAAGTAAAAAAAGTTCAAAGTAACAGTAACTAGACCTATGGCAAAAAGGATAACATGAAACCAATGAAAGGCTAACTAATGTAACTATTTTTCTATGGTAGGTTAAGTTCCCTTGGAGACATCCATATGGTGCATTGGTCATGACTGGAGGAATACGTGGCAGATGTGGCAGGGCTACGGTATGTCAATGAACCACCAAAATAACCAATAAGACACAGGTTGGGAGGCATCCAGGGGCTGCTAAGGTATGGGGGAAAAATTAAGCTTGGGGCAAAGAGCAGGAATGGTAAAAAATTCCCATTAGATGCCTTTCTACAATTGATATTGGACCCTGCTGCAAAGGCTGACAGCAGAAGGGACTGGAATCTGGATCGCTTCCACTAGTCAAGTCAGTAAAAAACACTCAAAAAGGTACCAACTTTGGGACACAGGCAAGTAAAGGGAGAAAAGGACAAAAAAAACAATCTTGTAAACAAAGCTCATGAAAGTACAATAAGCGTAAACAAATTGGCAATAAAAAAATAAGAGGATAAAGAAATACAAATCCCACTTAATAATGCAACCACAAAAGTACAGTAAGAAAAGCTATTTTAAAAACATCTTAACGCTCAATCTCTCGTGGCTATACAACACTGATTCCTCACACACAGAAATACTCATCAAAATGGGTTTTCAAAGCTGAGAAACCAAACACCAAAGAAAAACATAAATTAAAAAAAACATTAAAAGATAATTCAGATCCCTGCATAGATTCCAAGATCAATGTTACTTAAATCCCAGGCTGGGATCCCTCTATCAGGCTCATGGCTAGCCCATTTCCCTGCCAGGTATCTGCACTACCAGTCCACGTCCAACTGGTGGAAGGCTCCAGAGAGCAAGGGAGGAGGAAGAGAAGCGGCAGAGAGGGCGCGCTGACATTGATCCCGAGACATCTAGCCTGACATTTGTTTCACTTCGAGTCACGCAGACATTCCGGCTTCATGTGCCGCCTCGGTTGTCATAGCAACTCAAAGGGCTAGATCCATCAAAAGAGGGACGGCAAGTGCGTTGCACCGTGCGCGTCTGGGTGGTTCAGTTATCTGTGAGGGGGACCTCTTGTCTTTTGGTCTTGACAGAGAGCGTAAAGCTGAATTCCCCCCCCTCCTTTGATCGAAGCTGGTCGCAGGGAAGCTGAGGAGGAGGCGCATGAGACGCTATATGTGTCTGTATTAATGTGTGGGTGTTACCTGTATCTAAAGTACAACTCCTCTCAAAGTAGTCCAGGTAGTGGCTTCTGAGCTCCTTGTATATGTGTGCAAGTATATATGTGTATGTGTTTCTGTGTTGTTTGGAGTGTGTCTGTCTGTTATTTTCCACCGTACATCCTCTCAATGTCTTCCTGATAGTGTGTTTTCAGCTCCTTGCGCTTCAGCTTGAATGCATCAGTAACCAAGCCAGTCTCTGGTGTCCACGGCTCAGCGCTCAGACGGATCTTCTTGGGGATCTCAAATCGCTCCAGTTTTGCTGGTTGGGATGAGAGCAGAATTCACAAGTCAGAGTGACAGATAACAGTGTAATACTATCACTATCTACTGTCACTGTAATACAGACACTATCGCGCACCAAAACTGATAACTTGACAGAGCGTACCACCAGTTGCGCCACTTTAATTAGACATTTTCTCTGAGTGCATAAGCAGGATGAATATGAGTGAATAAGACAGAGAGCCCCCCCCCCCCTTTTACCTGAGATAGCAGCCTCAGTAATGATGCGGAGGACCTCCTTCTCCATCTGCGAGTTGTTGCAGATCTCCTCCAATGTGCCCCTCACCTGCATCTGCTCCGCCATGGCCATTAGCTGCTTGTGGTTAGGCACCACAAAGCTGATCACATACGACTGGTCACTGAAAAATTAGTACAAAAAGTTTAGCGAGAGAGACAACAGGTTATGAATAGACACCAAGAAAGAGATTTAACTTGAACTGACGTCTGGAAGAAATGGATTCAGCCGGACTGTGTGCGGGACTGTACCTGTTGGCATAGGCACAGATGTTGTCTATGAGTGAGCAGTTCTTCAGAACAGCCTCCACTTTTCCCAGAGAGACATACTCGCCTGCCTGCAGTTTCACCAGGTCCTTTTTACGGTCTATTGAACAAGAACACACGTTACAGTCCTAACAGATGTAGCACTTGTACCGTACACGTGTACACTAGTGTGAGGATTTACTTACCGATGATCTTGAGGCATCCGTCGGGGTGGAACTCTCCAATGTCTCCCGTACAGAACCATCGCTGGCCGTTCCTATCCACGAAAAAGTCATCACAGTTCTTGGTTTCATTTTTGTAGTAACCCATCGTTACATTGGGACCGCCAATCAAAATTTCCCCCCGTGGGTTGGGCTTGTCTGTGCTGTAGTAACCACCTAGAAGAGCGAAAACCTAATTAGATGGGAAATTTCAACCCTTTTGTTGGCTTCTCTGAAGTTTGGTTTGCTGGCATTTCACTCACCCTCCTCCCAGTCCTTCAGTGTGATCTCAGAACAAACCAGTGGAGCACCAACCCTCCCTGTGCTGTAGTCCCAAACTGAAAATAAAACACCAGCAAAAAGTTGTGCATTAGCGTGCTAAATGTAGGCAATAACTGCAAATTATCCGCTCCCCTCTTAATTTCCCAAAAGGCATCAAAAACAACCGCTATTTCACATTTCCTTCCTCCCTTTATGAAACCCATTCTCTTACTCTCACTGATGGTGCCAGCTCCACAGGTCTCCGTCAGGCCGTAGCCCTGCCCCACAGGGCAGCACATGCAGATGTTCATGAAGTGCTGTGTGGCTGCCGAGAGCGGAGCTCCGCCAGAAAGCAGCACCCGCATGTTCCCTCCCAAGAGCGCACGCACCTGTTTGAACACCAGACTGAGGGGGAGGTGGAGGATGAAAACAAAAATATACAGCATGGAGATGATGAGTGACGGGTACCAACAACACCTCTAACAAAGACTAAAAAACCATTCGACAAACTATAGCAATAAATCTACTTAGCATCTGGATATTGACTTATAATGAAGAATGCTCTGTGCAAACATAATATGCAATGATTCACATATGCTGGAGACACAGGGCCCTGTTGTAACGATAGGGTATTGTAAGTGCATGGCTTGAAGCGCGTGGCACAGTTGCTTTTGGGGCGTGTCCAATTCCAATATTGCTAGTTTAAGCCAGATGTGCTTGTACCTTTGCGCATTGCTATTATAATGGCAGATGAATCACGCATTATTAAAACCATCAACTGATTGACTGAATTGCAGACTCACAAGTAGGGGGAGGGGGATTCAGACAGAAGTGTGGACATGATATAAAAACTGTCTCTGAACACAAAGCCTAATGTTACTGTGCAGCTCTGTGGTTTATAAGTGAAGTGTCTGAACTCCACTGCAGACAGACAGATGCTGTCTCCTCTATGAAATGTCTGGATCCTCACTGCGTTGCGTAATTATAAACTATGATTAACCGGTTGTGGGTCACCACTGTTCCCTACACAAGTTTCTTTATTTTGTGTTTTATTGCTGTGTAAGGGTCTTTAATGATTTACTTTCATGATTAGAGAGGCTGCTGTCAGTCATTTTAAAAGCTTCCATGTGCGCAGTAAAGTCACAGCAAATATTGTGGGGAATTTAAGCAGCAAAATAAAAACTGTGTTATAAACATACCATGACAGGACAGAGGGAACTCTCCAGAGGAAACAGAATTCAACTTATAGCTTCTGAAATAATTTAGATGCTCTGATGGAGGACTGATCAAGAAGACGGCTGCTTTGCTACAAACAGAACCTGGACTGTGTGTGCAACATTAGATCCTGACCGATCCTGTCAGCGAGTCGAGAAATTTTAATAATGAATGAAGTTATGCTGCTGTCCCTCGTCCTTAAATTCGCACAGCGTCTCTCTTGCCATCAGAGTAACACTCACCTAAAATAACAAAATAACGGGAAATACTGCGCCATTGACTTTAGACCTTTTTTTTGGTCAATGGCGCAATTGCTCTCTGCTGCCTCAAGATAGCAATGCACCAACAATTTGCCCGACCACTTAAGACCAACACTCCCATGGGCGCACAGATGGACGCAATTGCTTTTGCTATTTAAACAACGTGGCCGCTTGGCATGAAAATGACAACTGCGTCGGTTGGAAACTAGCAATGACACTTGCGCTGAGCTGTGCATTGGATGTACTGATAGGGCTCTCAGTGTCAACAAGAATTTGTACTAGGGAAGAAAACGGCAACTGTAGGGGAAGACTTGTCTATATGGAAATAGAATATGTGTACTACCTGTCACAGAGAGGTGTGCTGTAGCCCCTGGAGATCTGCTCCATCTTGTAGTTGTAAGCCAGCACAAAGAGCATCTTCTGGAATTTGCTCATCTCCTCCACTTTGGTCATCACATTCTTGTAGATTCGATCCATGATCTCCTACACACAACAGGAAGGAAAACTCTAGTTAAATACTTTGTCAAATATATTTCAAGGTCTGACTGTAGCATGATACATAATATTTAGAGGCCATATTACTAGTAAAATTGAATCAATGGGTTTGTGCAGTGATAAAAACAGACTTACTGGTACAGCAGCCATGAGAGTAGGTTTCAGCACGCTGGTATCCCCTTTACTGCCCTTCTTTATCTTGGTGGACTGTTAAAAAGAAAACAAAAATAAATTGGTCAACTCTGAGTGACCTATTTATCTCAGTTTATAGTAGGTGCAGGACCATGCAGAGCTTAAAAAGTTACCATAAGCATCCTAAATGAAAAGGAAAATAAAAAATGGATAGGATCTGTTTTGTTAAGGGAGTTTAAGAAGGAGCAAAATCATTCCATCTCAGCTGGAGATCCAGAGGACCTATGTCTTAGTAATATGTGACTGTAATGCATCCAGGGGAGACATAAAACACTGACTGTGACAAAAACATGCTGGCCACAAGGTGTGTGTGTGCTTTTATATGCTGACCTGGTCGGCGAGAGTCTGAGGGGAGGAGTAGCCAATGCGACAGCCATGGGAGATGCACACCAGTTCGGCGCTGAGCTCTAAAACATGCGCCAGCGGCAGGTAGCCAATGTAGGTGTCTGCTTCACTGCCAGCACAGAAAATAACAGCAGCTGCGGTTAATTTCCACAAAGGACGCAGAAGGCAACACAGTGAGGTGTGACACAAAGAGAGAGCAGATGGTAATTGAGTACATGAGGAGCGATAGTGATAGCCTCTGTGTATTAGAGAGAAACAGTGTGATTGTTTGTAGATTTAGGAGAGTTGCAGAGTGCAAGATAAAGAGGGGGGGGGAGTGTCAGAGAAATAGCAGTGAATGGGATATGGGCATACTTGAGGTTAGGAATCCGCTCAGCCATGCCAGTGATTCCAGCAATGATGTTGCCATGGGAGATCATGACACCCTTGGGGATGCCTGTGGAGCCACTGGTGTACATGATGACGGCGATGTCCGAGGGCTCTGGCTGCCTGCGGTCCACTGCTACTGCAGGAACAGAAGAGCGGAGAGGTGATGGTTAGAGAGGAAACGGATCACAACAGAAAACATTATTAACTGTAATACGTTATTCTGAAGAAATGTCTGCTTCTTTTTAACGGCTGCCACTAACGACTGATTCCATTAGTCTGCCGATTATTTTCTAAATTGATTATTTAATCTATAAAATGTCCAAAAGCCAAAAATATTTAATTTCCAATTATATAAAACAGATAAAAGCAGCTAATCAAATCATAAATTGCTTGATAATTGACTTATCAAATTCAAATTAGTTGCTGGTTAATTTTCTGCCAATCATATAATGAATTGTAGTTTCAGCCCTTATGTTTTGTATAATCTTTTAGAATCTGTATAAAGTGGGAGATGCCTAAAACATACAAAGGACAGTCATGTCAGAGGGCTCTGGCTATGGGCAGGTTTGAAGAAAAGTACTTCTGTTCTGAATTTTCTGCATATACTCACCTAAATAAACACTTTGATTATGATTTTGTTTTAGCTAGGGCTGGGCCCAAATATTCGATCGTTAAGTTCACATTCAATTTTTAATAATGAGATTCGAATATTGAGGTTTTTTTCCCGCGCACCTGACCTTCGCACACAGCAGTGAATGTAATGCCCCAGTTCACATCAAAGAGAAAACAAAATGAAGCCCTCAGCTGTAAGGCAGCACAACTGAGGGATGACAATGGCAGTGTGGCAGTTAAAAAAAACAAACAACAACATAATGAACACATTCAAATAATTATATTTGGCTGATTATAGAAGAAGAACATTTAGTATGCTATAATAATAGTTAAACGTGAATTATGCATGATAACATGTTGTTTAGTTCCGCTACTGGAAGTAGCGCTCATCCCGTCTGCTCTCCCTGGAACCCTACCAGGCTAAATTATTCACGGATTCTACTGTGGACCTGCTCGGATCAGACTCTCTCACTCTGGATTCTCATCTACGGTTCCCCCTGCTCTGTACCTTCGATTATTTGCTTTTAATTACTACTGAAGCTTCAAAGCTCAAAAAAAAGACATTCAGGCCAGCACTAGTTTTAGCCCGATCCCTTCTTTCTCTGAATCTTAATGCACACATGGTTTAAATGATTGCAATCTTCTATGTAATCTTCCAAGATAATATTGTGTTTTCTTTATCAAATAGTTTAAAAAGAAAAGTATAAACTTGGCTCCAGTGACATCCGTAGCACAAACAGAACTTCTGTTTCCCCTGATTTTCCTGAAAAGTCGACCAATGTCATTGGGAGTTTGGCAAGTGGTGATTCGACCTCTTGCTGACGCTGTCACGCACAGCACATCACTCCAATTACACACCAGGGTGTTGGCTTTGTATTAAGCCTCCATCAGTGTGCTTCCATTTCCCTGACAAAATTAGAAAGCTTTTTAATTACATTGTGCAAATACTCACTATTTTCAGGCTTGGATCCCATCTCCATCACAGCATCCATGCTGTAGATCGTGATACCTCTGGGGATGTTTGGCCAACTTGTAGGTTTACTGTCCACTACAATGACATACTGCAGCCTCGGCACATCACACAGTATGGCCTGGGACATGGAGTGGGATGAAGTTGGGGGGAAAAAAGTAATTATGCAAATGGCCTAAGCTTTGTATCAAGTCCTAATGTTACACAGAATACACAGCCGGTAATACAGTGACATATCAGTGAACTGAAAGTGCAGGGCCTTGTTAATGACATGGGGACAGATGATGACACCAAAGCAGGTACCTTCAGACGGCTCTGAAGCAGGTCTTTGCTTGTGATGATGTGCGTGACCTCGGTCTCGTTCAGGCCGTGGGAGATGGCCATGGGTCCGAGAGTGGCATACAGGGTCACAACTGTCAAAATTCAAATCCAGCTGGTCAGTCATCTCAAGTGCTTTTTTTTTTTTTTTTTAATTGTAGGCCCAAGACTGTCTGAACACACACATCTGTCACTCACGTGGGAAATTGTACATGAAGCAGGCCTGCGCTGCCACGATCCACTCCGCTCTGGTCTCACAGAAAATGGCGATGTTACACTGAGGCTTCTGGCCGAGAGCTGCCAGACCGCTGCCGAAACACTTTGCTGCCCGGTAGGCGTCTTCGTACGTCAGCCAGTTATAGTTTCCTAGAATTACCTGCACACAGCATGCAAAGGTATATGCAATATATCAGGATTGTTTCCACATACTTCACCACACACCATGAAAACTGATGTATATGCATACATTCTACAGGTCTGGAAGCTTCAGAGCATCTTTTCATGAGCTGTTTACAACAAATATAAACAGAATGCTTAAATGCTTAAATGTATTATGATTATATGTATTATTTGAACCTTAAACCCATGGTAACCACATTGGTGGAATTAATATGAGCACTGTTCTGTATTGCAATATAAAAAGGTTATCGCGCAATACTGACAGCGTTGAATCTGAAAGAGGTCTGATGTTACCAGTCAAACAACATCATCGTTCATATGCAGTCAGTTAGCGCCATCTACAGGGCTTTTTCAACTACGCGGGTGTTAATGAGAAGGCTCTCAGCTGTGAGACAAAGGACCAGTAACACTGCTGCTCTTCCACCCACATTCCTCACACTGTGCACAGTGGCAGACTGCACTGGCAGCCTCACAGGCACAAGCGAACTTTCTGTAAACCTATAACACTTGAATACGCCCTTGCTCCTAACAAAAGACCACACATTTAAAATAATAATGAAACAAGGTGATAAACAGTTTGGTGCATGTGTAACAGGAACGCGGTCAGCATCTCTCACCTTCTTGAAGACCTTGCCGTTAGGCTGGAGCTCATCTTCCTCACTGAGGACCTCCCTGGTGCCCAGACAGTCTCTCTGTGGAAACCTCTCTGCAGCATATTCAAACATTTTGTCCAGGGTGTCCACCCCGGGGTGCTGCCATGCCACCAGCTTCTCTTCGCTGTTGATGGCCCTATAAGGCCCTGCTGGGCCACTAACTGAGCGTGCCTTGATCCTGCGAGCCCGTTTCAAGTTGCTGCCCGCTCCGGAGAAGAAGTACCAGGGTATGAAGGTGATGACAGAGTAGACCCAGACCGCAGAGCGGAAGACATGAAGCAGCAGGGGGTTTATGTCCTCCTTCAACTTCATCTTTGAAGAGCAATGATACACTGCACTTGTCAATGCTCTTTAAGTATTTTGACTGGCTGCTGAGGCTGAAGGTTGTAGGCTGCAACAAAGCAACAGAACATGAAATTTTAGTACACTGTGTTTTTATCAGCACATTTTGGAAATATCTAGCTGCAGCAAATGTGATCTACTGCCATTAATCCTTGCTTGCCTGAAGACCGCCTCTGCCTATTCTTAGGCTGGGTTCTCAGTCAGCCCAATTTACATCTGGCCCTGCTGCTCATGATTCCAGCCATGAAAACATGACACTACAACACTTAACATAATCATGTTTAGTGCTTTAGTTAATTAATTGATTAGTTGATGGCACATTAATTGTCAAGATTTGCTGCTTTTCTTTCTAATACATACAGCTGAATCAAGCAGTGGTTGCATTTAAGCCAAGAAAAGACTAGTTTGCAACCTATACCATGATGTTTAATATTGTTTGCAAATGCATCTATACAATGTTGTACTACAAAAACTCTGACCGTCTCCTGGAGAGCTCAGCAATTTCTAGTGTATTCTTAAGGCCAGATTGTAATTTCCAGTGTAGCTTGGTAGCCACTGATCTTGAGCATGCTACAGCTAGCGGCTGTGACTCATTCTGCAGCAGCTTAGAAGAGAGGTCTAGGTCACATGGGAGGTTAGTATAACCTGGCCAGTTAATGTAACATTACTGAGAAGAATCTAACACTTACCGAGCTGATGTGGGCTCCTCCTGCCCTTATGCAAACACAGGCTACAAGAAACAACCTCAGTATGTTTAGCAGCACATTCAAGAACATTTAATGATGCTCTTATTTAGATGAACAGTTTTCCTTCTTACATGCTACACTTCTATGGTAAACAGAGACACAGTTCGAGTCCTCACTATAGGTCAGTGTAAGGGGCCAACGAGGCTACTGGCCACCTGCACTGCACCATACTCTTGTGCTCCTGTAAGGACTGTGATACCATCGCCAGTACAATATTACACAGGGTCCAATCTGTTTCTACACAACAATAGACGATTGCCTCTCACTATATGGAGGTCATATAAATTCAAGGCAGCATGAGTATGTGTTAGCACGTGCACATGGACGTTTATGCAAGTCCTAAACTTCCTCATTTAGAAACTAAAAACAATCATTTCAAAGTGAGTCCATCAGTACGTCTGCCCATATCTATTATCAAACTGTATTTATACAGTATTTATAAGTATTTAGTACCACTATAGGTAAAAGAAGCCAACTATTAGTGAAGGGTTTTATGAGAATGCAAATTGTCAGATTGCTCAGCTTTAAAACAGTACCTGACCTCACTATTAAGTATGTAAAGACATATTGCACAAACAGAGTCAACCTTACAGGTGAAGGCTGTTTCACCTGTTTTGCAGCAACTCACATACCATAACCAACGGACACAGTTCTACTGTATTTGGGCAAAGCAAATACACAAAGAAGTCACAGTGAAACAGTGAAACCTCGTGCTGCTTTGGTTCAACCCATGTCATACAGATATTCTAGTCCTTGTATCCTTTAATTTGAATAAAGTGGACACACCTGCTTCTAGATACTATTTCAGCAAGGTGGCACTATCAAAACAACAAAAAACACATTTCGAAAGAAAGCAATCAGCATGTAACACAGTTATAATGGTTAACCAGATATTCAGCTTAACAGCCAAGACTTCATGATGAAGTGTAACTAAGTGTAATTAACTGTAACGTCAGTCCACCTGCTTATTGTGATGTGCATTAAAGAAACACACACATAAACAGATGCATAAAGTTTTAAGTGACCAATGTGAGGTATCTGTGCTTCCTTCAGCCACACCTAAGTTACTCCACAGTGATGCTAAATTACAAACGCTCCCTCTATGCTTTGAATCCGGTGATCACTTCACGCATTTTCCTCCATGTTATCGTATCAATCACACTGTTTAATCAAACAATGAGTCGTCATTTAAGTTACCATAGGCTGATTATTCTGCTTTCACTTGTTAATTGGGCTGTTATTGACGTGTTTCCTTTTTTCTCTGTGTCGTTCTTCTTCTGAGAAGCTCTAGATGCGGTGTCGTGTGTCAATAAGCTCACAACACATTGCTGTTATTATAACCTGCACAGGATTTTAGATATAATGTGCTACGCTATCAAAGTCTAACTACGTGAGCACATTTCCATGCTTATCAGCTAATAACAGGACATGTTCACTCCACAGGTCCGGTGTCTGAGGCTATAAAAAGGCTAGCGACGAAGCAGCATCAACATTAGCAGCTAGGGGACATCTCAAAGACGCGCTAGTAGCTAGCAAAGCTGAAAGCTAGCATTGTTAGCGCTCCAGCTAACCACTGCAGCTGTTGTTGGACCGCTGCTGGTGTGACGTTTGTAAAAATCAGTTTATTCATCAAAATGCAATCAAGAGTTTAAAGGCAGCGCACGCATCGTATTCTACACACATGTATGGCTTATTAAAGGCGATATGCCGCGCTGTTGAGCAAACCGGTCGCTAACAATCAGTCCCACTCATCAACATCTGCAAAGCGTTCACGCAGCAACACATTCTCACCTCTTTTCTCAACCGCTACGTCTGAGTCGCTGCGGGATGGGTGGAGTGTGTTTATCCTTGTAACCACAGCACTGACATCATGTAGATACCATCTATCAACACGGTGTGTTTGGTCACAAATCACAACGGCAAGTTTGTTATAAAACGAATAAAAAATAAAGTAAAAAATAAATCTGAGCGTCACCGGGACATCGCTAGCAGCCCGGAAGCTGTTGAATGACGTCACGAGATTTCCCTGTCTGCGATTGGACCACTGGAGGTGGCGCGTGCTTGTCGCAGCGGGGACGTCAGCGAGGTTACTAGCGGTCAAAACTGTCAGGCCCGTCACCGGCAAAGCGAGGTGGGTTGAACCCATAATTAAACCCGCGTTGCCGGTTCATTTGAATGGGTCGGCCATTATGCTACCTGCGGTTTTGCTGTGTATCTTTTTTTAAAATTCAGTGGTGGGCATATTCAGCATTAAAGCTATGGCAGGCAATTTATTTCAGAGGCATTCTTTGCATCCCAACAGCAATCATTTAATCAAATGCTCTGAAACAAAAATGAATCTGTGCCCGGGCGGGACTGTAATAACCATGAATGATTGGCTGGCCTACCTGCCTGCCTGTGTACTTGCGCGCTCAGTGCCCATGCACTCACTCTGAAAGAACATGGCTGTTTCTCAATCTGCCTTCTTGTCTGTACTTGTGTTCTTGTGGACTTGTGAAACGTCATCAGTCGCAGCCAAAGTACTGTTCCAATTCAAAAGTCCGCATCCAGCCAAGTACAGTCAAATACCCGGATGTGTTCTCGCCCCGCCCCTTTTACCGAGCCTGCATCGGTGGTGACTTGTGTGGACTTCGGATCGCCAGATATCCCAGAACTGTAATTTATAATACTGCTGTTCTTGTGTCACATATAGTAGTTTTAAGAGTTTTTTATGCGGGAATATAGTTGTTTAAACTACAAATATGTGGCTGATTTATCAAGACAGAGCTGATTTAAAAATTTGCTAGGACGTTTTCGGAGATGTGAGGTCCCGCCCGCTAACGGGTCCGGCCGTCATTAAGTCCGCTGCTGTTCCAATAGCTGAATGACTGACTGCGTGCTCCCGTTCCTGTGAGTTTGTTCTCCCGAGCCGAACTTGCCAAGTCCGAGCTTTAAAGAACAGAAGTCCGAACATGGCTAACTCCGTTATGAGAAACAGCCCATGTGTTTTGGGGGAGTGGCTTTGGAGGCGGTGGATACTTTCAAAATTCAGCGGTCTGTTCTTGCTAGTTTCTCCAGCGTCGCCCACCCCTTAGCTATAACTAAAGAAAGGCAGAGAACGAACGTATGAACGATAGGCTACAAAAAAAGCCGTATTGTGAGTTACCTATGGAGCATAACATACTGAATATGTATCACAGTTGTGTGGGTAATTCATCTGACTGTGTGGGACTGCATACTCGAGTGGTGAAAAGTCATCATCGGATCCCTTTGCCTTTCCTGTATGAAGCACGGTATGAAAGTGTTAATATGAAAAGCACCGAAACTCCAACTTCCCTCTATCTGTGGAGAGGCTTGGCCATGACTAGTGAGCAGATACAGTCCATGCTAGTGACTAACGTCAAAGCCTGTACACCAGAAATATTACCCAAACGTCTCTGCATAACCGCACCTAGCAATGGTCCTTGAAGGTACCATAGGTACATTTTTGAATGGCGCACCATTCATAAATATAATAAGCCATAAGAGTCTGAAGTAAGGTAAAGTAACAGTAGTTGGCTTCATTTCCAAAACAGAAAGCAAGTGAGAACAGCAAAAAAATGCATATCCCCAAGTACAATATACAGTTTTTAAACTTTATGAATATTACCCTGTTGTGTTTTGAATATGTCAGACACCTGCACACCTATTTTATATTTATCCTATTAATGTGATATTTTCTTATAACAGTAGATTTAAAATGATTAATCAGAAATTAAAAGACATCACTGGATGATAAAAACAATACAAATACAAACAATAGAAACTCAGTCATACCAAATAAAGTTGATCATAGGAGGTGTCTGCTTAAAATCCCAGTGGGCCTACAAAAGACTACAGAAAATATTAATAAAAAAATAACTCTTGCTCTAATAATGGTCACCCACAATCCAATATAATCCAAATTATATCCAAGACATTTAGTCAGATTCAAATAGGCTACTGTTTATTGAGATGGTATTAAAAAGCCCCCATAAACAAAATACATCAAAACCGTAACAGTAGCTTTATGTATGACTTTAAATGCTTTAAGTGCAGAAAATACAGTATTGGCTTACCATTGCAAAATTAACTTTCAGCAGCTGGTGGTGCTAATATACATTTCCCTCAACTCTATTCAGTAATACCTAACTGTAACTCACATAGCTTTTGCAATAGCTTCCATCATTTGCAATAGATTTTGCACAACAGTAACAATTGTATTAA